GGCGGGCTCGGTGGCGGAGCTAAAGGCGAGGGAGAGGGGATGGATCGGGGTGTTGAGTTTCATGCAGAGATGGTCCAACCCATGGGAGTGCTTGTATTGCAGGTGTTCCATTGTGCAAACAAACGTGCGCGAACACACGCGCATACACGCAAGCACCTACATGCCCAAACACACACACACACACACACACACACACACACACACACACATGCGTGCGTGCGCCCTCGCACCTCCCTGGCTGCCCTGTTCTATCCATCCCTCCCTCTCTCCCCACTCTCCCACACATGCCACCCACGCCCATATCCACCCCCTCTCCTCCTTCCCCCCCCCCCCAGGCTCCTTACGTGGAACGACGCGCTTGACAACGCCGGCTCCCTCCAAACGGTATGGATCTCCCCAAACAGCATTAGGAACGCCGCCAGGGGTATGCTCAGGAGGTTGTTGTAATAGGACATGCTGCACGCACCCCGCCAGGTGACACGCGCGCGCGGCACGGGTGGAAGTCGGCGGGAAGCCGCGGCGGCCATCAGGGTTGGTGGGAAGAGCACTGCGCGGAATTTGCGTTCGCAGCTCTTGCATGCAGGGCCGGCGTTTGGGCGTTCGATTTGCGGGGCGGCGGTGCGCAAGCTACTGATCGCTCGTGGCGCCTCATGGCACCGCGAGGAACCGCGCAAGCCCGCACCTGGCCTCGTTCACGCGGCGGCCGGAGGGGCCCGCTGACGACGACAGGCGCTGAGTCACGTGGCTCAGGTACAGCGCGTAGGCGGCTGCGTTGGTCGGGGGGGTGCAGCGGGCCCATCGCATCAAGACATCGCCTCTCAGTTAACCATGTAATGGCTCACACGATTACAACTTGTCAGAGCCGCTTGGGAGCGCCCAGGTTGCCCCACCTCTGACGGGATGCGTCGCGGCTCTGCGCACGACCCCCGCGGCGAGCGGCGCCGGCCAGCCGCGGCCCTGCCGACCCCCACCCACCCGTGAGCAGGCAGTTGAGCAGCTGCCACGCGTAGCCCGCCGGCGAGAAAGCCGCGTCGGTCGCCGCGCCGCCGGCCGCGGTGGCGAGCATCAACAGCAGGCAGGCGTATACATGCCACGTGTACGTGCGGCCCATCATCACATAGTCCCCGGCTATGATGAATATGTTGGTCAGGTTTTTCAGCAGCGACATGACGCCCACGCCCAGCTGCCAGGTGGACGGGTGGAAGTTGGGCAGGCGGCGGCGCAGGTGTCGTGGGGGCGAAGGGCTTTGGGCGGAGGCGTGTCTTGTGTGCCCTCGAGAGGCTGCGAATCCCTCCAGTGTCCCGCTGCGTCCGCAGTGCGCAAGGACCGAGTGACATGCCGCGCAGCCCGCCGGCGCTGGTAACTGCGCTGCTTGCGACGCCGCACGCAGGACCCGCACCGCTCCACCCTCCCCACTCCCGCGGCTGCCACTGTTGCCATTGCCGCTGCAGCCGCCGCTGGCTCTGCGACCCCTTGCGGCCGCCCCGCGGCCCGCTTCGCACCAGCCCCAGCGACTTGAAAGCCGTCGCCAGCATCCCCACGAATATGAAATTCAGGGGCAGCCACAGCCGCAGCACGTCGCGCGTCAGGGGCGCGATCTCCACCAGACCAAGCGCCGCGGCGCCCCTCAGCAGCGCGACCGCGATGAGGCAGTGGTACGCCAAGAGGGAGTTGACCGCCTTGAACCCATGGTGCGAGAGAACTTGCTTGTTGAGGCTGTCGCAGGGGGGGGGAAATCGGAGAAGGGGGCTTGGTTAGAGGCTTTCCGAGGCGTGGATGGATGCGAGCGTGTGCAACTGCGGGGGTCCGGCGGCAGCGGCGGTGGCCGTGCGTGCAGGGCGCTGTGCGGGGCGTCCCTGCATGCAGCTGCGCGCACAGGGTCAGGGATGTGTTGCTGCGGCTGCGTACTGCGGCCCGCGCAAGGCTCTCACAGGATGATGCTGCTGCTGCACATGACCCAGCACACGCCAGCGATCGCTGCTGACGAGCCTGCGCCAGGAACATGATAAGTCGATGCGTAGAGGGCGTGAACATTGATCGGCGCATGAGCCGACTGGTGCGGATTGCTGCTGCATACGCCGCAGGCCGTGCAGAACCTGCAAAGATCCGCAAGTCAAACTGGAGCCGCCATCGGGGTGCCCGGCGGCGTTACCTAGTGCACGAGAGTTGCGTTGATCCACAGCCGACACCGGCGACCGCGACCATGGTTTGCTGTGCGTCCCCAACCTTGTTATTTGGACATGAGCGCAAGGAATCGAGGGAGCTGCAGCTGCTGAATGCACATGCGCCCCTTCCAGGTCGTGGTCCGACCAGGAGGAGGTACGAGAACGCGGTGATAATGCACCCATTCAATGATCAGATTTGGACCCTGCTCGTGCTGGCGCTGACCGCAGTGATCTGCGCCCGAACGCTGCCTGGAACCGCAAAATAAGCAGTGATACACAGCACTAAACACAAATCAACATCGCCGTTGACCAGAGCGTGCTGATGACGAGGCCACCCTCGTGGCCTACTCCGTCTTGCGCAGCTGCTGCACACAAGCGGCGGGAGCTGCCGCTTCGGCGGTTGGCAACTTATGACGAGCTGCCAACTTCCTCGCCCGCCTGCCACAACCAGTCCCTCCGCACATCACAAAAGAACATTCTTGTAGCAGAGGGTATGATAAGGGGAGGCCGGCCGCTGCTGTGCGAGGTCCTGCTTGAAAGCCACCAAGGGCGGGGAGGCTTTCACCCTGATTAATGTGAACCCTGCCTCAAGCCACCATTGGCCGCGTGATCCGTGGCTGCCCCTCCTGCTGTATGAATTTTGTTTAGTCTGCATTGCACTGCTTCCGCCTCTCAAACCCACTGCTTGCGGGCATGTTCGCCTCCCTGCCAGCCTCCAACATGTCAATCACGCTTTGTGGCCCTGCACGAATGAGTCCACCGGCTGCGGTGTTTACAAGCAATTCGATGGACCTGCAAAATGAATGAGGGGATAGGAAACCTTGCAGCTCCACCCCACCTCCAGCTAATCTCCCGCTCCCACTCCACAAACATGACGTCGTCCCCCGCCCACAGCCTGCAGGCATCAGAAGTAGTTGCTGAGGAAACGCAGCAGCACCCCGTTGCTCCAGCCAAACCCGACCTGCGGCGCATACTCGCCGCCACCCCCCACGCCGCCGCCGGCGCTGCGGATGTCGTACTTTTCGTGCATGTGGCCGGTCGCCTTCCAGGCCGCATAGTTTGACCTGGGTCAAACATGCACATTTGTTGGGTTTGAAGTGGTGGGTGCATGGTCGAAAAAAAGCACAAGATCAGGCAAAAGCAGCGGGCTGCCTGGTCCGCTGAGCAGGCGCAGGGCGCAGGTGCGCAGGAGCCTGTCCCCGGCTGTTGGGAGTCTGCTCAGCCGCACCTGACCCACGCCCGTGCGACCCGCCGCGCCAGCCGGCGGCCCGCGGGGCCGCCGGAGGCGCGCGCGCCCTCCACCAGCATGTGCTGCAGCGGCGGCCACCCGTTTGGGGCGTCCCACTGCTGCCCGGTGGCGTAGAGGGAAGTGGAGATGCCTGGTAATGATGACCATACCGGCAAGCGGCGGGTTGGTCATTCCGTCGGTTATTGGCCGGCCACGGACCGAAACCTGGATGCAGCACCAAGGCAGGACAAGCGGCAGCTGCTCAACAGCCATGACACGACAACGCCCCATGGCACGCAGCAGCAGCCGAGCATAAGCCTGCCCGCACGCATACACGCAACGCGCACCTCCCGGCTGAACCAACCCTGAGGCCTCCAGCGACGCGACCACCCTGGCCCCCAGCTCCTCGTCGCCCTCCGCCAGCCCCGCCCACAGCGGCACATAATTTGACGCATACACCCCGCTGCTCAGCCGCACGCCACACACGCCGCATTCGGGCCTGCCGCCGCTGCCGCCCGCCGCTCCGCCCTCGGCGGGGCCGCCGCCAACGGCATTCTCGCCCGATGGCGGGGCCGGCTGGACCAGTACGCCGTCCCGCCAGCACCCCGCGGCGTCATCCCACAGGACAGCCGCCATCGCGTCTCGCCGCGCGGCCGCGAGGGCGTCGAAGCGGCCGGCGGCGTCGTCGTCCCCCGCGGCTGCAGCTGCCCACTGGACGTTTCGCTCCATTTGGAACAAAAATGCGTTCAGGTCGGCAGGGATGATCTGGGGCAGCGGCCGACGCGGCGGTTTCGCGGGGTGCCTTGAGTCAAAAGAGGGGAGCGGCCATGGCAAGGGCCAGGGGTTGCGGGTGGGGCCGCCTAAAGGCGGGTCCAGCCAGGCGTCGCTGTGACGATGCAGCTGGCCAGCGGGCGGCTACACCAAGCCCAGGCAAAGCGGATCGCGGCAAGGGCAGCACTCCCCGCCGCCCTCGGCGCCCGCAGGCACGCCCCGCCCCGACCTGGGACGTCCTAATCGTGGCCATGGTAGCGCCGTCCTCAAACCAGCGAGAGGAGAAGTCCCAGCCGCTCTCGGCAGCAGTCGCCAGCTCGTGCCACACCCGCCGCGCTACGCGGGCATCGAGGAAGCCGCCGCCCGGCACCATCCCAGGCTCCTCGCCACCGCCGCCCTCCTCTGCGGCTGCCTCACCAGCCGCCGCCGCTGCTGCTGCCGCCGCTGCAGATGGTGTTGGCGCTGCTGGGCCGCCCGGCGCCTCTTGCGCTGCAGCCGCCGCCTGCGCCGCCTTTCTGGCCGTCGCCGTGTCTTTTGCATGTGACTCTGGCCGGGGCTCAAACCAGTCTGCCCAATACCTGCGATTTTCCAACAACCAACAGATTTGGGGCGGACTGCTTTGCCTGTCTGCTGAAAAGCGATTTCCTGGAGCAGCCGTGGGCTGCAACCTCTATGAGAGGTGCAGCTCACCCGATCAGCCGGTGCCCTAGGTTTTTGGGGTTGGGGGCCAGGCGGGCGCCGACAGCCCTCGTCCCACCTGCTGAGGTTGTGCACTCGCCCGTCCGCACCCCGCACGCGCAGCGCCTTGCGGCCGGACGTCCAGTAGGCGTGCTCCCGCATCAGCAGGGGTAGCGCGTCCCTGACGAGGCTGGCGTCGCCAGTGGCCTCAGCCACGAGCCGCACCATGGCGCTCAGCAGCGGCGGCTGGCTGCGTGTCAGGGGCAGGGGGAGGGGCGGCGTCTGTGTGTGCCGCATTGTGCGGAATGAGGCAATGCGACGAGGCGTGCCCTTGGGTGCATGCGCGGTGCCTGCTGCGGCTGGCAGCTTGCGCGCGGAGCAGGCCCTGCTGGCGCGCAGCCTGCCGTTCCCGTACCCCTGCTCCAGGCACACCAGACATTGGCAGCCACCTAAACTCTCGTGAAATCAACGTTACCACCAACACCACCACTGCCACCACAGCCACCACCCCTCTGTTGGCCTCGTCATCAACCGCCGCCCCCACCTCGATGACCCCCGCCGCAATCATCACCACCGCCATCACCTGCGGTTCAGGTAGTACCCTCGGCCGCCGTTGGGCACGTGGCCCACCGCGCCCAGCATGTGCATTAGGTTGCGCACGAGCCCCGCCGCGGTGGCGCCCATTCCGCTCGCCAGCAGGCCGTGGAGTACCCACAAGGAGTCCCAATAGTAGGTCTCCCTGAAGCGGTCACCGGGGACCACCGTCGGGTGCGGCAGCGGCAGCAGCGTGCTGGGCAGGGGGCCGGCGCCCAGCGGGGGAGTGGCCTGCGGACGAAGGCCCGAAGGGCAGTGTGCGTATATGTGTATGGATATATGTGTGCGAGTGTTTTTTGGGGGAAATGCCAGAAAAAATGTGGTGCGCGGGCTCAAAGGATGCAGATCAGTCTTCAGTAATGCACTGTTTGGCTATTCGGCTTTGCCCCGCTGACGTGGCGGAGCGGGCAGACCAACCAGCACCGCACTCACGCGCGCGGCGCGCGTCCCGACCCGGGGCAACCTCAGCAATGTCCGCTACAGGGTCGACAGTCGCACCTTGCGGCTGAGCAGCTTCCACAGGCCGTGCACCTGCAGCCCAAAGGCCCGCAGCTCCTCGCTGCTCGCAAAGCCCTCTTCCTCATCCCCGCCTGGGTCAAGCCACGCGCCCTCACCGCCATCCCCGGCCCCTCCGCCCTCCGCTGCGCCGCCCAACGCGCCTGCCGCGGGCGCAACAGCACTCCCCGCGGGCGCGCCGCTGACTGCGCCAGTCGGGGCCTTGAGGTTGGCGAGGAAGCCAGGGGGGTGGGGTACCCAGTCGGCCGGCTGGTAAGGCAGTAGGTCGCTGAGTGGGTCCCAAGGGTGAGTAAGATGGACGCATTGTGATCACTTTTGTGAGTCATCAGTGCTGGACACCCGACCGCCTGGCCAAGATTCCGATAGTGGAGGCGGAGCGGCGCCCGGCAGGCAACACATCAAAAATCCAGTGTTGCTTGCTGCTGCCACTGCGCAGGGGCAGGGGGTGTATATAGCCCTCCCTTGATCATCTTGATCACCAGTCCTTCAGGACCATCCCTACCTGCCGGCAGGGGCAAAGTGCTCCTCGATAAAGGCCCTCAGCTGCTCGGCGCTAGGCTCGCCGGCCAGCAGCTGCTCAGCAGCCGCCGCGACGCCGGCGGGTGGGGACCGCAGCACAATGTCTCTGTGGCGTCGCGGTCAGCGGTGGTGGTTGTGTAGAACGGAGTGGTTGAGCCACAAGGCACAGAGTTTCCTTGTGGTGTCGCCTGCAGCCTTGCGAAGGTGGCTGCAGTGGTCGAGGCAGAGCTCGATGCCAGAGGGCTGCACATCAATGGCGGCTGCGCGTCGCGGCAGTTGGCACCACTGAAAGCCTCTCAGCACTTCCTCTGCATGCTCATTCCTAACCTTGTACCACTCACACTGCATTCTTCGGGTCATCGAACACGCGGTGCTGCTGTATCGCCCGCAGCAGCGGCGCCAGCTCCGCTCGCAGGATGCCTGATGCGGCCCAGTCATGCGCTGCATCCGTCATCCGCGCCGGCGATATGTGCACCAAGAGGCAAGTTGTTTACCAGCACCGCGTAGTGAACTTCAGTACGTCTAATACTCGACACAAAGAGAGGCTCAGCCCGGAACCAGGCCACGCAGAGATCAAGGCTCCGCGTCTTCGAAACAAGCTAAGATCCGCGACGTCACAGGATGCTTCTTGATACAATGCATTGATCAGCGTTGTATACTGCTGCTAGCCAGCCTCTGCTCCCTCGCCAGTCTGCTGAACACGCCTGGCGGGCGCAAGCTTGCTGACGACACCTGGATGGGAGGCGAGGGTGGCATTGTGAGCAGCTTGAGGGCCAGCCGAGCCAAGGCGACGGCACACAGACAAGGAATGCGCATGAAACCCTGAGTGCGACACCTGCGCCCCGCCGCACACCGTTGTGCCGACGACAGGGCAGGAACGCCAGGAGATGGCCAGGCTGCAGGTCGACCCGAGCGGCGGCGCCGGGGGCGGCGCGCCAAACGCCACGGATGCAGCGGGCCCGACGCTGCGCCTGGATCTCTCTCATTGGGAGGCTCTCGGCGCTCTGCACGGCTCCCTCTCCGCGCCCCTGGCCCAAGTCGCGTCGTGCACCGCGGTACAGGACCCGTGGGCGCGGGCAGGGCCCGTCACTGGCGCCGGCAGCGACGCCAGCGGCGGCGGGGGCCGCGTGCTGCGCGGCTGGCGCGCTCCAGGCACCGGCCTGCCGGGCGTCATCGCGCTGGGCACGCTGCGCCACAGCGGGGGGCGCGACTTTGCCGCCGTCTACCGCCACCGCCCGGCGGTGGTGGTCGACTTCTCGGCTGGCCCCTGGGGCCGGTGGGTCGTGACGGCGGCGGGCGAAGGGGAGGCCGAGCGGCTCGCTGCCGAGGTCACCGCCGCCGCGGCCGCCGCCAGGGGGTGACATCATCGCCTGCGCCGTCTTCGTCCACGTTGCAGGGCGCGCCAATCCTGCAGGGCTGTGTGCACATACCTTTTCATCGACATAGCGAGCGGCCCACTCCTTCTCTCTGTTTCGATGTGCCAGTGTCAAAGAAATGTGCTGAAAAGCCAGCAGGACATTTTTGATTTTGCAGGAGTGTGTGAGTGCGTGTACATGCGTGCGCGCGCGCGTTTGTGTGTGTACTGGCTCGATTGAGAGGCAGCCATGTCCTCATACAACCTGCATACTTCTCAGCCATGTGCCAACTGCTGTTCTGACGGCTTGTCACCCCCGTGGCTTTTGGAGGGTGTGCCAGGACTTTGGTAAGGCACTTTGCCACTGTTCTCCTTCGCACCAAAGCTCGGCGCATGGACGTGTGTGCGAATCAACCTGCCACTGCTTTGGCTAGGGGCAAGGTGTACATGCATCCGCCCCAAACGCGCCACGCGTGTTGTCCTTCCAAGAGCACTACCCAGCGCGTTTTAAGAGCAAGAGAGGTCACCAGTCGCCAGGCCTGACTTTTCGCAGGCCCTGTACTCCAGCTTGCCGTTTGCATGTGCAAGACCGCACCCTCCTTGTTGCTATTGCGAATACACACAAAATGTTACTCTTGTCTCCAACCAGACGGGCACAGAGGGCGCCGCATCTCTCGCCGTTTCAAACGTGTGATGTCACCACAAGGCAGGTCACCATACATCACATGAGCTCGAACGCCAAGGGTTTGCCTGTTGAGCGCTCAGAGTAGTTCCACTCCCAAGCCGGCCCGCTCGGCCGCTCTGCCGACCCGCCGGGGATCGCGTCGCTACCAAGAGTCGTAGTAATGCTATGAAGCTGCTCGGCGCCCAGAGGGGGCGCCGCCTTTGTGCAGAGGCGCAGCCGCCTGTTCAGGCGCGCTGATCACGGGTCACCTCGCGCCGCAGCAATCAAAAGGCGTTTGGGGGCCGCAGGAGAGCCCGCAGCGCGCCCAGGAGACGAAACGTGCAAGTCAAAAATGTTGCCTCGCCGTGCCCTTGTTAGGGCCGTGCGCAGGGGCGTTGCTCGCTGCCTGTACAGCTCCTGCCAGCCAATACCACCTCGCGTGAACAGCTGTTCAAGTGCACGCGCGCTGTTCGCACGGCCGCCGCGGTCGTGACGACGCGCTGCGCCCAAACTGCGCCGCCGGATACTCAAGAGGCAGCGCGCCCGCACCGGCCGGCTGCCGGCCGGCGCACTCGCGCGTGCCGCGTCAATGTCAGTATTGGTTGAATCCTCGTGCATGGCGCCACTCCAGAGGCGCATCCGCCGCCACCGCCACGACCGTCTCTGCACACACACATACACGTGCATGGTGGCGCACCGCTGTCGAGGTTTGCCGCGCTACCTGGACCGCTGCGTGCGCCTAGTGGGCGCTGAGCTGGCGTGCGGCGCGCTCCGCCTGGAGCTTGGCGTCCATCGCCTCCAGGTCCGCATACTGGGGTTGGAAGGCCGGCGATTGAGGTCAGGGGTTGGGGTGAGGGACGGGGTCCGAGTACGTGCGCACGCGCTCTTGTGTGTGTGTGTGTGTGTGTGTGTGTGTGTGTGTGTGTGTGTGTTTGTGTGTGCGCGCGCGCGCGCGTGCGTTTGCGTGTCAGCGGCGCACGCATGCGCATGTGCGTGTCATGTATGTGCGAGTAGAAGCAAAGCCGTGAGTGCGTAAAGGCAAGGTGCGAGTGAGTAACGCATGTCGTGTGCGCGCGTGTGTGTCACCATGACCCCCACCATCATCACCCCTCACCATCTTGTTGACGTCAAAGCCCTCCCACGCGCGGTGCGAGTCGCGGATGCTGCGGTTGGCCACCCACACGGCGCTGTTGCACTTGAAGCCGCTGCCAAAGCCGAGCTGCCACACGCGGTCGCCCTTCGACACGCGGCCGCTGTGCTCCATGTACGCCAGTATGTACCTGCCAGTGAGAGGTTGTTCAGGTGCAGGGATGCATCGGCAAGCCATTGTAGCAGCAATCACGCGCAGCGGCACTGAATATGGAACACATGAAGCCCCATCAAGGTTTGATACCTGGGGTTTCCACCAAACCCCCTGTCGTTGCCCGCCCTGCTCAGAGGCGCGACAAGCACATGACCGGTCCGCATCCCTCGCTCCCCGCCCTGCCCCCCCGACCCTTCTCACCACACGCTGGTGCTGCTGGTGTTTCCAAACTGGTAGAGCGCCGCCCTGCTTGGCTCCACCGCCTTTTTGGGCAGCGCCAGCTCCTTCTCAATGGTGTCGATCACGCCGCGGCCGCCGGTGTGGATGCACATGTGCTCAAACGCCTTCTTAAAGTCGGGCGTGTAGGGCCGAGTCCACGTCAGCGGCATCTGCTGCGCAGCTGCCTTGCTGGCCGATGCGACCTTGCGGGCCGCGAGGTTGGCCGCGAAGAGCAGCTGCTCGCTGAGCGGCAGGACCAGGGGGCCGAGCGACGTCAGGTTGGCGCGGAGGGCGCGGGCGGCGACCCCCATCAGCTCCTTGCCCAGGCGCACGCCCCACTGCGCGTGGGAAGGGCGAGGCGTGCGTGTGTGTGAGCTTCAGATGAGGGCTTGGCGTGGGTGGTAGCGACTTGAGTCGGGGGCGGCGACATGCACGGGCAGGCATATTCAACTGAGCGTGAACAGTTATCATGGATGCCGGCACCGCTCCCCCTCCCCTCGGCAACCCGACCCACACACGCACGGCCCCCCGTCAGCAACGGCCCCTAATCCCAAGACCGGCCCCCGCGCACCCTCCCTGGCCCCCTCCCCCCCCTCTTGCAC